GTGTACATATTATATTTGTATTACTATAATAATTTTTATAGTGTATTTATAGATAAAATACCCATAAAAAGCTATTATTGTTAATATTTCATATTGAGAAGCAAATTCATTATATAACTGGATACTTGGGATTAATCAATAAAAACAATCAAATTTAATTAAGATTGCCTAATTTCAAATTTATTCATAAGAATCAGCAGTTCTGAGCATGGTGTGTTTCACTAAAATCATCTGTGTATAGCAACCGTATCTTGACTAATTATCATCTCAGTCACCCAAGTTGTGCTCTTAACATGCAATTTCTCACTTCCATGCCTGACTAAGGACCTATGAATTGTTATTTGACAGCTTCTGAAGGACAGCCAGTTTTCCTCAAGGTTGTGGCCCCTGAGAAGTTGACCATACTCTATTGGATGGCAAACACCCAGGTGTATATGTGCTGCACAAATTGGATCTGATGGTTTTTGTTTTTTTAACAGGACACACAGTTGGGATAAGGAAGTAGGAGTGGATCTGTGAGGAGTTAGAGATGGAGCAATGGAGGATTGTTCCCCTGGCTCCACATCCTTGCCAGCATGAGCTGTGATAGTTGTTATTGATCTTAGCCATTCTGACAGAAGTAAGATGGAATCTCAAAGTAGTTTTGTTTTGCATTTCACTGATGACTAATGATGTTGAACATGTTTTTAGTGTTCCTTGGCCTCTGAGATTCCTCTCTTGCAAACTCTGTATTTATACACACACACACACACACACACACACACACACACACACACACACACACACACACAAATATATATATATATATTTATATACCATTTTAATTGGATTCTTTGGTTTGTTGATGTCTAGTTGCTTGAGTTCTTTATATATTTTGGATATTAGCCCTCTATCTGATGTGGAGTTGATGAAAATTGTTTTCCATTCTGGAGGCTGCTGTTTTGTCCTATTGACCATGTCCTTTGCCTTATAGTTAGTTTTTGAGTTAATGAGATCCCATTGGTTAATTGTCAGTCTTAGTGCTTGTGAAATCTGTGTTCTGTTTCAGGAAATGGTCTCCACTGCTGATGCATTTAAGGCTATTCCATATATAGCAGGTGCAGTGTCTGGTTTGATGTTGAGCTGTTTGATCCACTTGGCTTGACTTTTGAGCAAGGTAATGAACATGGATCAATGTGTATGCTTCTGGATGCGGACATCCAGTTAAGCCAGAACCATTCAATGAAAATGTTTTTCTTTATTTCAAGTGTGTAGTTCTGGGTTATTTATCAAAAACAATATTTTAAAAATTCTTCTTTCATACATTACATCTTGAGGGCAATTTTCCTCCTCTCTACTCCTCCATGTTTTCTTCCCCCACCATTCATATATATATGTATATTCTTACATTTCATGGGCTGTCCAGATCAGTATGTACTGGATGCTCTGAGTATCTGTCTGATCTGAAAAATTACTGTCATCAAGGTATTTGCTGTTTTCTTCTTTCACTGCTGCTGACTGTACACTTAATGATCTCACTTTGCAAAACTGAAGCTATGGCAGTTGTGGATCATTTCCCATACAAGACCCGGACATCTATGAAGTCAAATATAAATTTAAATTAAAAATGGGTTGTGCCAACCCACATCTGACAGAGGACTGATATCCAGAATATATAAGGAACTCAAGAAATTAGACATCAAAATGCCCAACAGTCCAATTAAGAAATGGGCTATAGAACTAAACAGAGAATTCTCAACAGAGGAAACTCAAATGGCCGAAAGACATTTAAGGAATTGCTCATCATCCCTAATCATCAGGGAAATGCAAATCAAAACAACTCTGAGATACCACCTTACGCCTGTCAGAATGGCTAAGATCAAAAACACTGAAGACACCTTATGCTGGAGAGGATGTGGAGCTAGGGGAACTCTCCTCCACTGCTGGTGGGAATGCAAGCTTGTACAACCACTTTGGAAATCAATATGGCGCTTTCTTAGAAAATTGGGAATCAATCTCCCCCAAGATCCAGCTATACCACTCTTGGGCATATACCCAAGAAATGCTCAACCACACCATAAGAGCACTTGTTCAGCTATGTTCATATCAGCATTGTTTGTAATAGCCAGAACATGGAAACAACCCAGATGCCCTTCAACTGAAGAATGGATAAACAAAATGTGGTACATATACACAATGGAATACTACTCAGCAGAAAAAAACAATGGCATCATGAGGTTTGCAGACAAATGGATGGATCTAGAAAAAATCATCCTGAGTGAGGTAACCCAGACTCAGAAAGACAAACATGGTATGTACTCACTCATAGCAGGATACTAGACATGAAACAAGGATGAATTGTCTGCTACTCACATCACCAGGGAGGCTACCCGGAAAACAGGACCCCAAGAAAGACACAGGGATCGCCCAATGACAGAGAAATGGAATGAGATCTACATGAACAGCCTGGACATGAGTGGGGGTAATGAAAGGCGAGGGTCGAGGGAAAGAGAGCTTGGGGGAGCGGGAGATCCCAGCTGGATCAACAACAGAGAGGGAGAACAAGGAATAGGAGACCATGGTAAATGAAGACCACATGAGAACAGGAAGAAGCAAAGTGCTAGAGAGGCCCACAGAAATCCACAAAGATACCCACACAACAGAGTGCTGGCAATGGTCGAGAGACAGTCCGAACTGACCTACTCTGGTGATGGGATGGCCAAACACCCTAATTGTTGTGCTAGAAACCTCATCCAACTACTGAGGGATCTGGATGCAGAGATCCATGACTAGGCCCTGGGTGGATCTCTGGGAGTCCAATCAACGAGAATGAGGAGGGTTTATATGAGTGAGAATTGTTGAGACCAAGGTTGGATAAAGCACAGGGACAAATAGCCAAATGAATGGAAACACATGAACTATGAACCAATGGCTGAGGGGTCCACACTGGATCAGGCCCTCCGAATGGGTGAGACAGTTGATTGGCTTGATCTGTTTGGGAGGCATCCAGGCAGTGGGACCAGATCTTGTGCTCATTGCATGAGTTGGCTGTTTGAAACCTGGGGCCTATGCAGGATTGTTTGGCTCGGCCTGGGAGGAGGGGACTAGACCTACCTGGACTGAGTCTACCAGGTTGACCTCAGTCTGTGGGGAAGGCTTTGCCCTGGAGGAGATGGGAATGGGGGGGGGGGGCGTTGGGGGGAAGGTGAGGGGGACGGGAGGGGGGGAGAACAAGGGAATCCGTGGCTGATATGTAGAACTGAATTGTATTGCAAAATAAATTAAAATAAATTTAAAAAAAAAACTGAAAAAAAAAAAAATTTGTCCAGTAAATGTTATGTACTGCTCTAAATCATCGTCAGTGAAGGGAGAGCTCAATTGAGGAAATGAACCACATGAATGAGGGTGGAAGTACAATTTCTGTGGAATGTGCTCATAGCCTGGAGAACATGGAAGCACCAATGCTGTGTCCTTGGCCATCATGGGAAGTACAGGCAGAATTCCCTTCTCTTCAGAGCAGATTAGTGTTTTATATCAGTTAGCTTTTGAAGTTAATGATCCATGCTAACAACAATTTTAAAGTAGAACAGGTGAAGTTACTCTTCCAGAGAGACTTTATTTTTTTCATTTTTCTTTATTAAGAAATTTTCTACTCACTCTACATACCACCCACAGATCCCACCTCCTCCCTCCACCCACCCCCAACCCTCCCTCCCAAGCCACCACACATCCCCACATCCCCCAAATCAAGGTCTCCCATGGGAAGTCAGCAGAGCCTGGCACACTGAGCCTAAGCAGGTCCAAGCCCTTCCCCACTGCACCAACGCTATACAAGAGGCCACAACACAGGCACTGGGCTCCCAAAAGCCTGCTCATGCACCAGGGATGGATCCCGATCTCCCTGCCTGGATGCTCCCCAAACAGTTCGAGCCAAACAACCGTCTTCCGTATCCAGAGGGCCCGGTCCAGTCCCATGGGGCTCCACAGCCACCAGTCCACAGTTCATAGACTTCCACTAGTGTGGCCCATGATCTCTGCACATCCTCCCATCATGATATCCATGTCCCCCACATGCAGAATCCCTCCTCTCTCTCACCGATTGGATTTCTGGAGCTCAGCCTGGTGCCTGGCCGTGGATCTCTGTATCTGCCTCCATCAGTCACTGGACAAAGGCTCTATGATTACTGCTAGGTTATTTGCTAGGCTGGTCACCAGAGTAGACCGGTCCAGGCACCCTCTTGACCACTGCCAGCAGATCATGATGGGGTCATCCTTGTGGATTCTTGAGAGCCTCCCCGGCACCCTGCCTCTTCCTATTCCCATGATGTCCTCATATATCATGGTATCTCCCTCCCTGCCCTCCCACCCTGTCCCTGTTCCAGCTGGACCCTCCCATTTACCTATGTTCCCCAGATTGACTTTATAGCACCATAGTTTGCTTAAATGGTCTCTTTAAATTATATAGCCTAGATTTACCTCTGATCATACTGCAGAACGTTCCAACTTTACAAATTTGTCTTTTCTTGTATTTTTGGTTTTTGTGACAGAGTTCCACTATGCCACCTAGGCTGAACTCACATACACAATCTTCCCACTTCTTCCTCCCCAAAACAGGGACAACAAATTCTGTGCTACCTGCTAATCCACTTGTAGTCTCCCATCTGTCATTTGTCTTAAACTATCAACCTAATGCTTACATATGTAAATGTCTCCAGTTATTATTATTGTGTATGCAATTACTACAGTTCAACACTAAACATTTTTATTGGAAAGTTTATCTAATCCTGACTTTTAAAAATGTATTTCTAAACATTTTTTCCAGCACTGTGAGTTATACTTTAGATTTAAGAAACACATTGTCTATTAAGTATACATTCCCTTCAGCAGCCAACACTAGCATGTTTCATTACCATCCCTGAGCCATTATGACCTTTTTCAGCCTCATCACTTGTTCTTACATTCTGACAGCCACCAACACTTGATTTGATGGTCCAGGTGCAATCTGCAATGGTTAACTTTTGTACTGTTACAATGTTGATTTAAAAAGTCTCATCCTCAGAGAAGCTCACCCGAAGGACTATACTCCACATAAACCCCACAGTTTAATTCTCTCTGTTAATGTGATATTCTCCATTAAAACAGTGAGTGGTGATTGTCTCAACACTCCCATCATACAGCTTGGTTTACCTGTGTCCCAGACTATGTGACAACCTGCATTGGGAAGAAACTTTGTAGACAATCAGTGTCTTCTGCAAAGGCTGGTATTGACAGTGTGTTCACAGAATAGAAACTGAGTAGAAGACATGGATAGAGGGATGCAGACAGCACAGTTTTTAGAGTTCTCTGACTACACAAGCACGGCGTGTTGTCTGGTAAAAACTAGTGCAACAGAGCCTGAAGAAGGAAGCATAGTGTCTGATGAGCAGAAAGGGGCAGAATGTGGGAAAGCATGCAGACATGGCTACACCAATGTTAGACAGCCACCTAGTGGTTCCTTCAAGGGCAGACAGATAAACTGTAAAGACAATAGATGTTACATAGAAGAGCACAAAGCTGCTTACTAGGGTGAGAATGCTTTGGGTGGCTCTGGTCTCAGGGGATAACCTAGGAGACAGGGATCTGTGGATGTGTTGGACCCTCTGCTTGTGTTTGAGCAGGATAAACACCATGTAGTCACTGGACCACATCATCAGTCCCAAAAAGATGATATCGTTGGATGCTATTAGGATTACAATAAGAGTGCTGGTTAGTCTCTCAGAATTTATAATAACACAATATCCAAAATCTTGTATCCCAGTAATATTTCTTCCACCCCTTATGTCAGTTGTATATACAGGAATGAAAATATATAACAACAGCTGGAGGGCCCAGCACAGGCCCAGGAATGGACCAATAATCCCAGGGGCTCTGAGCTTGAACTGTGCACACCTGGAATTACTAGGGCTGATGGTGATGGCCTGAAAGACACTCAGCAGGGATGTGGAGCTAAGGGATACTCCTCTGGCAACTCTGTGAAAATATAAGGCAAGTTTACAGGGAACATAATTTAGATAGTAAGTCTGACTAAAAGCAGCAATGGTCTGTGGGATTCCTCTGCAGAGAACAATGACGTTGGCCCAGGTTAGGTGTTTGACAATCAGGTCTGTGGGCTTCTCCCTGATTCCAGAGAAGACGGCAATGATAAAACAACAAAGCAAGGCTGAGTTCCCCAGCATTCCCAGTGCAGTCTGAGACAGGAAGATGATCCCTACAACCATGTCTCTGGAGTTCATTCTGTCATGGTCCTGGGTCAGTGCAAAACATGTCCAGAGCACACCTGTTAAATGTCTTCATTTTTCTTACCATGCCAAACAATGTACTGCATACACAATATTACCTTACATTCATAACTAATGTTAAAATGTGTCTTTCTAGTAAGTAGTTTGCTAGGTCTCAGTGAATTGCTATTGTTTGAATTGCAGATAATTGATTGGGACATTGTAGTAAAAATTAAATTTTATTATGCCATTAATAGGTCTTAGCATTTTCCACGAACTTTACAGTTAATTGCTGGTTTAATATCCACAGTGCACTGGTGAGATGATCTAATGATCAAACTACATTCAGATGAATGTCCTGGTTTCAGAAACATTCCAGGTTACCATGCTCCCAGCAACTAGTAAAAGGCTGAAGAAAGGAGACTGTCTGACTCCAGAGAAAATAGTAACCCCTAACTAAGATGCTATTGACAACTGATAGCTACTAGGAAAGGTGGAGTCAGCTTCCTTTAAAAATGTGGCCCCTAGTAGGTTGACAATGACATAGTAGATGATCACACACCCACTACCACATGGGCACCACAAGCTATGCTTTATGTGTTAAGAAATTTAAAAAGCAAAAAGATGGGTGGGTAAAGAAACATGGTGTAACTGTGAGGACTGAGGGAAGTGTGAAAATGATCAAAATGCATATAAATTTCTCCCAGATAAAAAATAAGAATGAATAATAGAGAATAATAAAAACAATACAATTTGAGAATAAAAAATAGAGAGTAATAAAATTAAAAGAAAATAGTGACCATCAGCTGTCAGGAATGATAACACTTGAGTTCTCCTTTTTCAAACACACACGTAATTGCATTTACATTTGTGTGCATGTACATATATGTGCTTAAGTTGGCTTGCTTTTAAGTGTTTTCAACATTACTTTTTAACCTTTTAATTTGAAATATATTATTTAGAATATAACTGTATTGCACTTAAACATGCAATGTTTAAAAAGTTTAAACATAAAAAAACTTATCAATATATTTACAACAGAATGCAATGAAGTGGTTTATTCAATAGGAGGATCACTAATGAGATTCTTCACCTTTTTTGCATTGAAATTAAAGCACAATCAAGACTGTATGGAACTGTTGAACAATAGGAGCAGGCCTTCTGAATTGTGGGGCATTAAATTTAACTAATATAATTGTAAGTGTTACAGAAATTGACAGATCCTAATGTACTGTCAGCTGGTGATGCAATGAATACCTAACACATAGCACAGTAATAATTCACATATCTATTTGATTCAAAAGCAATATCTGGACTGAGAATAGCGACACATGTCTTTAATCCCAGTCCCTAGTAAGCTGAGGCCAGAGGATCTCTATGAGTTTGAGGCTAACCTGCTCTATAGAACAAGTTTCAGGACATCAACGACTACATAAATAGACTCTGTCTCAAAAATCAAACAAACAGAAAGTAAATTCAGGAGGACATGAACATCCATTTCGGGGGGGAAGTGGACATATCAGAGGCGTCGGACCTGAGTGACATGAGGTTGCAATTATTCACTTAGTCAAATGCCCATGGACTTGAAATTTGGATATTGAGACATTAATTTATGACTTGCTCATTTTTTCACATTCCAGATAACAAAGCCCTCTAAGAAGGATATTAAATTCTCACTATGCCACTGTACACAGGCATTTCCAATAAAGAAAAATATCTGCATGCATACAAAGCTCAGTGGAAAGCAGAATCTGAGGTGTAAATATGCAGAGGATATCAAACAACTCTCAAATTGCTCTTGTGACTCTCTAAATTCTGGCCGAGTTTTACCAACCCACTGCACTAGCCTAAGATTACAAAATTAAAAGTAGAACAGATAAATCTGAGAAAAAGTACTAAACTGTTTTAGTCACCAGGAACCCTCCTTACTGGGAGCAGACACGAGGCCACTGTCTTGGAAAAGAGCAACAAATGGGAATCCAGGATAGTCTCTCACCTGCAGCCTCCATCAAATCATGTTGGGTTCAGTTCAGATCTCTGGCTGATTCTTCCTACTATGAAAATTCAACCTTTATAGGAGCCTTTTCCTGAAAGAGAAAGATCATTTTGGAAGTCTGAACTCACTCACCTTCCAGAGACTGCCCTGTCCTTTGAAGACTGGGTGCCTGAAGAAAATCAACTCACCTGTGCTGATAGGATGCATCTGTGAAGCTGGCTGCTGGATGGCGACTCAATCGCCAATGGGACCTACAATCCTCATATAACTACAAAGTTGACAGCAACCCCCAAGATAAAGGCTGAATATTTGCAGCGCTCATACCCAAGAGGATGACAGGATGATGTCACAGTAAGGAACCATGACAGTTCTACTGAGGGACTTTACATCACCTTTGAAAAAAAATAAGCAAGAGAAACTTTTAACTGAATAATGAGCACCACAGAAGTGCAGGGTAGAAGTATAAAGTCTATTTTCTCTCTTGCGGTGTCAAATGCTAAGAGTCCCAGTAGCAGAAACAGGCAGTGATTATAATCTTGGGAGCAGGGAACAAAGGCAAAGTGTGAAGTTACTAGTACACTGTACTTTGAGGATGCATCATTATGAAAATGTCTCTTACATTTGAAGAGGCTGGAAGTTTTCCTGGACCTCACAGGCAGAGTTAATGTACATTGAGGTCATTTAAGACTTAATACTGCTGTTAAACTATATGCTTATCCTGTGTGATTAACTTGCATTTAAGAGAATAACGCAACAACCAACCTTAATTGCTTTGAATTTCCCATGTAATCGGTTTTTACAACCTAAGCTAATGCATAGCTTTACTCCTAAAATGTATAATCTTCTATGCCCTGACACAAGAGTAATGCTGGTGCGTATGTATGTTGTAGTAATAAATGATTAAAACAGCTAGTTTGAACTCAACCTCATGAAATAAATGTACACAATAAATGTGGGAAGTGATACAAATATAGGTTGATATATCTATGTCCAGTGATGTTATAGCACTGTTTCTTATCTGAGTTGGTTGAGAGCAGTTTGTATCAGTGTCTTAATCCCTTGTAAAAATTCTTTTAAACATTTCTGTAAAGTATCCCTCATTACTTACTCCACGTGAAGCTTCCATTCTGTTCAATAAATACAGAGCCAAAGTGAGGCACACACAGAGACAGAAAGTGTCAAGGCAGATAGATCCACAAGTCATCATTCAGTTAGGCACTGATTCAGGCTGATAAAACAGAGAATGATGGAAGGCAACAGGAGGGAGAAGTAAATAATTTATAACTGGGCTTGTTCTTGGTTAAATCCCAAGGGAAAGAGCTTCTTGATGTTTTTCCACAATGTGACAGAGTCACATTGTGAGTACTTTGGGGCTGCCAGTAATGCATTAAAACCAGTGCACTCTACATATTTATAGTCTGTCTGCATGAAATCTACCTTCCTCCTCAGCACCCCACCTCAAGTGGAACACAGAGTCTTCCCCTCCTAACTTTCCTACCTCTACTCATTGTTTAAATCCAGCCTCCAAGTTCAGAACAAGATGGTTTTACAGCATAGTATTCTACTGGGTTTTCAAAGAAGAGTTAATCCCAGTACTCCTCAAATTACACCACAAAACAGAAACAGAAGGGACATTGCCAATTCATTTCATAAGTCCACCGTTATCCTGATACAAGGACCATGGAGAGACCCAACAAAGACAGAGAATTACAGTCCAATTTCCCTTGTGAGCATAGATGCAAAAATTCTCAATCTAATACTTGTAAACAGAATCTAAGAACACATCAAACAATCATTCATCATGTTCTAGCAGGCTGCATTCTGGGGGTACAGCGACAGTTCAGCATATATAAATCAATAAATGTAATCTGCCATTGAAACAAACTGAAATAAAAAGACAACACGATCATTTCTTAGATGTAGAAAAGGCTTTTGACAAGCATCAAATCTCCCTGCATGACATAGGACATAGGTCCTAAAAAATTTATGGATATTAGGGACATATATCAACATAATAAAGACAATTTAAATCAAACCCATAGCCAACATTAACTTAAATGGAGAGAAACTCAAAGCAGTTCCACTAAAATCAAGAACAATACAAGGTTGTCCACTTCCTCCATACCTATTCAATATAGCACTTGAAGTCTTAGCTGGATCTAGGGGATACAAATTGGAATGGAAGAAGGCACAGTATGTTTATTTGCATATAGTATTGTAGTATACATAAGGGATCCTAAAAATTCCACTAGAAAACATCTACATGTAATAAACACTTTCAGCAAAGTCTCTGATACAAAATTAACCAAGAAAATTAATAGCCATTTTATATATAAATAACAAATGGAGTGAGAGAGAAATCAGTGGAACATTACCCATGACAATAGCCTGAAATAATATAAAATATCTGGGTTATATCTAAACAAGCAAGTGAAAAACTTGTATGATTAAAACCTTCAACTGATTGAAGAAGATATCAGAAGACTGAAAGATCACTCATGTTCATGGATCTGTGGGAATAATGTAGTATCCTACCTAAAGCAGTCTACAGATTCAATGCAATCTGTCTCAAAATTCCAAAGCATGCCTTCACAGATCTTGAATGGACAATTCATAGTTTCATATGGAAAAAAAAAACTGAGCATAGCAAAAACAGTCCTAACAAATAAAAGAACTACTAGAAGTATCACCATTCCTGATTTTAAGTTGTACCACAGAGCTATAGTAATAAAAATGGGATGGTATAGGTACTAGGAGAGACACACTGATCAATAGGTGTTGCTGGCTCTGCAGCTGGGGTCCCACTGTCCTGATCCCAGGGGCAAGGGGTGTGCAGACGCAGAACCAATGACAGGCTCTGGGAGATATGCAAGCAATCTCCTCTATTAAACAAAGAGCTGAAGTATTTATGTGTGTGTTGTTTGGTGGGCTTTGCTTCCAGCTGCCGTGGCATTTCTTGGTTTGGCCCTGGGTCTTATGTTGGCAGTTGTCATCTTGGGGGTCCAGTTTCAGGCTCCTCTGGGTCAGGATGCTACTGCACATGTCACAGTTCTTTTTTTGCTTAAGGCATGGCCCAGTGCTTTCAGCCTTATCTGCCTTAAATAGAATCAAATTCAAGTCCTAGATGTAAATCCACACTCCCATAGTTACAAGATGTTTGATAAAGAAGTCAGAAATACACATTGCAAAAGCTAGCACCTTCAACAAATGTACTGGTCAATCTGTATATCTGCATGTAGAAGAATCCAAATAGATGCATTCTCATTACCTTGCAAAAAGGCAACTCTAAATAGATCAAAGACCTCAATATAATCCAGATCCATTGAACCTGATAGAAAAGAAAGTGGGTGTAGCCTTGAACTAATTGGCACAGGAAAAAACCTTCTGGGAAAAAAAAAAGCAGTGTTAACAAAGGCACTAAAGATCAACAATTAATAAATGGGATTCCATGAAACTGGGAAGCTTCTGCATGGAAAAAGACACTGTCATTTGTATATAGTGACAGGCTACAGAATGGGAAAATAATTTTACTAACTACACATATGACAAAGGATGATCTATGAGAAGTGTTTCTCTTTAGACAGTCAGGAATTTTTCTTAATAAAGACTCTGAATTTGGATTTTGATCATGTTTACTATCCTGAAGTTGACTTAGATAAGAAAAATTTATTAAAAACACAAAATGTTTCTGAATGTTCATGTGGCAACCTGCATCAAATTATGAGCTAGCTCTTATGAAACTCCACAACAAATAGACACCCATGCATGTGTGCACAGTCAGGACTACAAAAGATGTGGAGATAACAAGTATGATGAACTCTCACAGAAGAAAAAAAACACAATAAAAATACACAAAATATGCCAGGAGACATATGAAGAAGAACAATATCTAATGAATGATAGTTACTTGGAAAGTGTTCAGTGTCCCTATTGAAATTGTGTCTAGGATGATCACGAAACACTCAAGTCTACAGTGGAAATGTTAAGAATGAAGGCCGTGGGTCAAATAACTCATCAGTGCAGTGCAATGAGAGGAAACTCTCAGGACACCATGTTTCCAAAGCAGTCTTAAATTGTGTAATATACCCTTGCAGATGCAGAGAGCAGTAGCTGTGAATCAGCAACAGGCTGTACTGTGAATCCCCGGGAGGACTTTGTTGCTCTGCACATTCATCGGACATGCAGGACAGCTAGGTGGACAATCAAGAACAGGAGCAATATTGGCAGTTAACCCTAGGAACTAAATAAGTTTAAACAGAGTGGGGAGACGAGATGGGACCTTAGGAACTACCAGATACTTACAGTCTCCCCTTCCCAATACTCTGACGCTGTAGAATACCCTAGGGAATGGCTGCAGAAGAGAGTAGAAACTATTCTATGAAGTGGTGCATTGAAAGTTCAAAAAGTCTAATAGAACTGTTCCAAATGCGATTTTTATACCTTCTTTTAGAAGTGTGTATTTATGTGAAAGTGATCATGTGTGGAGTCCAGGAAACTAGGAAGGTGAATTAGAAGGTCTGGGGAAATGGTAGGGAGAGTAAAACAATACATGTGTTTTGAAAGGAAAAGAAGGAATAATGGAAATTGGACAGTGTGAGATGGGAGGAGGATATAGAAAAGGGGAAAGAGGAGGGGCTGGGCCAATCAAAAGAGTAAGTATGAAATAGTCTTAAGGAAACTTCATATTTTGTAAACTAATTAATCATAGTGAAAAATCAAAATAAAATCAATAAAAAGTGAAAGAAAAAAGGCTGAAAATACAAAATTGGGGCATGCTTGTGAATGAATGAGAGATCTCATGCACTGACAATGTCTGTGAATGTCATTACAAATGTTGGAAAATGGTTTACATCTGCTTAATTGTAGAAAATATAACCTTACAGGCTAGCAATCACACTTTTATTTTTCCAACATTCTAAACAATATTTATTCTGAGAGAATATACATTGTATAATTACAATTAAATTTTTGTTATGGAATTTGTATATATAAGCGCAGACATATAATTATACACACACACACACACACACACACACACACACACACACACACACAAAACCTCTCAGAAAAAAAAAACTTCTTTGCAAAAGAAGTTCAAATCATTACAAAAACACACCACTGATCAAAGTTCAGAAAAACACATAATTATGTGGTGCCAAGCCTCAGTTGATCCATCGACAATACAATTACACTCAAGGCTCCGAGGATATGGTTGTAGAGGAGGCAGAAATACCCTAAGAGCCAGAGAAACAGATAGCTTATGTGAGATTATGTCTCCTAGATACATCAGGGAAGCTATACCACTGAAGTCTCAACTTGGCTACCTAAACAAACCAAAGCAAGTAGACCAACAGACATGCTAGCATGTTAGAACTGTCACTAAGCACCAATAACCTCACTTTTTTAAAATTTTATAATTTGATTTAATTTTATATATCAGCCACGGATTCCCCTGTCATCCCTCCTCCCACCCCACTGCCCGGCCTCCCCCCAGCCCACCCTTCAATCCCATCTCCTCCAGGGCAAGGACTCCCCTCCTTGAATCACTGAGGGATTCAGCTCAGCCTGGTAGATTCAGTTGAGGCAGGTCCAGTCCCCTCCTCCCTTCACCCAGGCTGAGCAAAGTGTCCCTGCATAGGCCCCAGGTTCCAAACAGCCAGCTCATGCACTAAGGACAGGTCCCAGTCCCACTGCCTGGGTGCTTCCCAAACAGTTCAAGATAATCAACTGTCTCACTTATCCAGAGGGCCTGATCCAGTTAGGGGTTCCTCAGCTATTGGTTCATAGTTCATGTGTTTCCACTAGTTAGGCTACTTGTCCCTGTGCTTTTTCCAGTCTTGGTCTCAACAATTCTTGCTCATACAATCCCTCCTCTTTCTCACCAGTTGGATTCCTGGAGCTCCACCTGGGGCCTGGCAGTGGATCTCTGCATCTGCTTCCATCAGTCATTAGATGAGATTTCTAGCACGACAGTTAGGGTGTTTGGCCATCCTATCACCAGAGTAGGTCAGTAGGGGAAGAGGGAGGACAGGGGAATCCATGGCTGATATGTAAAATTAAATCAAATTATAAAAGAGAAAAAAAGAATAACTAAATAAATAAATTCACTTTTTACATCATCCAGTAACAATTATGGAAACTTTAACATGCAAACCTGAAACACATGAGCAGTGACATACCATGAGCAATGAATTGACTCACATAAAATAGACTTCTAAATACCAATTATAGGCTTGAGAGACTCCCCATAATCCCTGCCTGAGGCAAATGATGGCTGCTGCTGGCCCAAGGAAAGGCATGCAAGGTTGCCATGAACCAGAGTCCAAGCAGCAACCTTGACCAAACTTGCATTGATGGGTCCACAGGATCAAGGAAGTTTGTGGTGATTTTGCTGTGCTGCAGGACCAAACATTGATTTATAGCCTGAAAGACAAAGAGGGCAAGCATCATTTGGCATTATATATTCAACAGAACCATGTGGTCCAGCATCATCTTGAGGTAGTTAAACAACTCTAAGAGGAAGTTCTAAAAACCCAAATTCAGAGCCAAATATGCTACAAAGATCTTGAACAAAAACATCAAGAAAGTGCTCAGGAAATCAAGAGGAGCTATCATTGAGGTTGGAAGACCATGGATTTGATAGAAGACCAATGAGGTTATGTTGTGTACTTTGAAAAATTATGGGGGATGGGCAGGGGGAGAAAAGGGATGAAGACCATTACAGAGTTCTCTGGAGGCAGCAGTTACTATGGAGAGGATGGAGGAATGTAACCAAGAGTGATGAAAGAAACTGTCTCTACTCCAGCATGAGTGACCCATAGGAATCAGAAGCAGTATGATGATGAAACTGCCCAGAAATTGCAAGAAAAACCTTTAGAAATTGCTTGATTTCTGAGTGTAACAGAAACTCACAAGAAAGCCAAAGAGTGAGAAAGTCATCTTTGGACAAAGGAAAATATGGTCTGAATTCAAGCAAAAGCAGCTAAATCAGCACACTCAACGTCAAAAGATAGTGATGAAAACAATGTTCTAAGAATGACAGGCCATCCCAAATAGTACCATCTCCAACAACGGTCCATTATGATGTGGATCACAGACATTTTACAAACCAGCACAGTGCCACTTGTCATTTCTCGAAATCAGAGTCATCTCATAAAGAATTCCATAACAAGTAGTAATTTAAAAATCTTTCTTCAACTTGGTCTTACTGTAACAAATATTGTAGAGTACAGGTTTCTGAAGTATGGCCTGATGATTCTCTGGATTTTCTTGTTGTTTGTTCTTATGCCTACCTTCTCATTTCTGACTTGTTAATTTGGATGTTCTCTCTCTCTGCCTTTTGGTTAGTTTGGATAAGAGTTTGTCTATCTTGTTTATTTTCTCAAAGAACCAACTCTTTATTTCATTGATTCTTTGTACTGTTTTCTTTCTATTTTATTGATTTCAACCTTCAATTTGATTGTCATCCACTCCTCCTGGCTGAATTTGTTTCTTTTTGTTCTGGAGCTTTCAGTTGTGCTGTTAAGTCACCAGTGTAAGATTTCTCCATCTTCTTTATGTAGCCATTTTAGCCATTTAGAGCTATGAAATTTCATCTTAGCACTGCTTTCATAGTGTCCCATAAGTTTGGGTATGTTGTACATTCATTTTCATTGAATTCTAGGAAGTCTTTAATTTCTTTCTTTATTTCTTCCTTGACCCAGTGGTGATTCAGTTGAGTGTTGTTCAGTTTCCATGAGTTTGTAGGCTTTCTGTAGTTTGTGTTGTTGTTGAATTATAACTTTAAGCCATGGTGGTCTGAGGTTATTCCAATTTTTTGTATCTTTTGAGGTTTGCTTTGTGACAGAATATATGGTCAATTTCAGAGATGGTGCCATGGGGTGATTTCAGTTATACTGCCTTCATATATGTATATATTTTAGGACGCTTCTACTGTATTAGGTTTCCATAGTGCCCCTTAAATGGCCCTTAGTTTCACCTGTCTCTTCCTGTTCCTTCCATTGCCCACCTCATTCTTCTCCTTCCCCACTTGACCCTTTTATTCCTGCTCCTCACTTCCATCCATAACTATTCTATTTCCCTTCCCTAATGAGATCTATCTGTACCCCTTAGTCCCTTACTCTATAGCTAACATCTGTGGTTCTACAGATTGTAGCTTGTTATCATTGTCTTAAAAGCTAATATCCACACATAAGTAAATATACACTATATTTTCTTTATTATTCTGGGTTACCTGATTCAAGGTGACTTTTTCTAGTTCCTTCCACTTACCTGCAAACTTCAGGATTTTATTTATTTTTTTAATGGCTAAGTAATACTCTACTGGGTAAGTGTACCAGTTTCTTTACCCATTCTTCTGTTGAGGGACAACTAGCTTTTTTCCAAATCCTGATTATTATTAGTAGAGCAGCAATGAACATGGTTGAACAAGTGTCTTTGTGTTAGGATGAAGGACACTTTGAGTATATGCCCCAAAGTTGTGAGGTAGTTTGAAAGACAATGGCCCATACAGGGAGTGGAACTACTAGGTGTGGCTTTGTAGGAGGAAGTGTGTCACTGTGGGGTCTCTTTTATTCAAAATACTGTCCAGTGTTTTAGACCACTTCCTGTTGCTTGTAAGATGTAGGACTCTCAGCTACTTCTCCAGCACCATGTCTGTCTGCACACCACCATATCCCACCATAATAACAGACTGAACCTCTGAACTCTAAGCAAGCCAACTCAGTTGTTTTCCTTTAGAAAAGTTGCCATGGTCATGGTGTATGGGAGCCCATTTTCAGGTCTGCATAGAGGTTGATTGGATCACAGGCCTGAGCACAGGTTTCTGAGATGGTCTGCACTTGGCTGTGCTGGAGGGATGTCTTTTGCTCCACCCCTTGGCATTTCTATAAATACCCTAGGGCAAAGACAGTCAGGGCCCATTGGAATAGGCTCCAGGCCCTCTCAAGGCTATCCTGTATTTTCTATCTATTTATCTCCACATTTTAAATCCTTCTATCGAATATTTCCTACTACTCTCACTCAAGAGCACTCTGAGGAAATGTGGGGGGGGGAGCCCCCCCCACAATGGTGTCTCTTCATAGCAATAAAAACTCGACAAGTGGTATACCTGTATCTTGGGGCAGATGGATTCACGTTTTCCTGAAGAACTGCCACACTGATTTCCACAGAGGCTGCATAAGTTTGCACTTCCATGAGCAATTGATGAGTGTTCTCTTTACTCTACATTCTCATCAGCATGAGCTAAGAATGCACATCAGAGTCATCAATAAACAGCCAGATTATGCTGCTTTATGTGTACTCACATCTTTCTTCCTTTAAATGGGAAAGGCTCTAGAGTTCTAAGAACCTTAGTAGAATAAGCCCCTTGGGTCACCTGTCTCATTGCAGTATCAATCACATCTGCAAACACAAATTGGTCATGTAAGGTACTTTATTTGCAGAACCTAGGGATTAGCAAATAGTACATTTCAAAGAAGCTAACTTGCTTACCAGTTTGCTCTCTAGACCTCCCAGTTTAAAATAAAATGATTCCATCTCAAGGTCCCAAATGTCTCAATCTATTACTTTATAACCTAAAATTCATATCTCATCACACTCTCAGTTCTACAGTCATGAACTTCACCTTCTAAAGCTCTGGTGCAACTTATTCCAAAGCAGTTTATCTTCACCTGTGACCCTTTAAAACTAGCACACTAATCATGTGTTCCCAAATAAAAATATGGCGATATTTTATTTGTGCTGAAATGTGATTTATTTGTATGTTAATAAATAAAGTTGCCTGGGGGTCAGAGCTAATAGCAAGCAAGCCATTTAGCAGAAGTCTGGCAGTGTAGCACAAGCCTTTAATCCCATCACATGGCAGGCAGAGTCTGTGTGTTCAAGGACATAGGCAGCTTGGTGACATATGCCTTTAATCCAAGTACCAACCGTAGATACCTGGAGGTCTGTATAGACGGGCAGTAATGAAGAAGTCATGTGGTTGGGTTTAGAACCAATGAGAAGGCAGAACAGAAAGTCAATAAAAAAATACAGACACACAGGAAGTAGGTCTCTTTTCTCAGGGGAAGGAGGGCAGCAGCTGGTAAGCTAAAGGCTGTTCACTAGTGCTCTGACCTCTTGGGCTTTTAACTCTTTATTTGGCTCTGTGTTTCTTATTTAATAAGACTGTTTAGAGTTACATCTACAAGGGGAGAAAAATGGAAGGGGCTAAAACAAATTTCCAATCCCCAAAAATTTGAAATCCAGTTTAGCAAACTCAACTAGGTATCAGTGTCTAGGAATATCTGTGGCTAGACCTCTGCAAACTGGCTTATCCTCTGTTCAATCACATTATCACCATCAAAGTTAACAAAGTCTGTAGCTCAGAGCTGTCAGCCTGTTTCTTATGTGCAAAATGTTAAGAGCTCATAAAATCTTTGTCTTGGACAGTTTTTGTCAACTTGACACAAACTAGAGTCACCTGGGAACAGGGAACCTCATATGAGGAATTGGCTCCATCAAATTGTCCTGTGGGCATGTTTATGGTGCATGCATGCTCTTGATTAATGATTGATGTGGGAGGCCACGGTCCACTGTGGGTAGAGCCAACCCTGGACAAGTGGTCCTGGATTGTATAAGAAAGGAGGCTAATTAAGCCACAAGGAGCAAGCCAGTAAGCAGCCTTCCCCCACGGCTTCTGCTTCAGTTCCTGCCTCCAGGTTGCTGCGTGACTTTCTTCTTTGGCTTCCCCTGATGATAGTCTGTAACCTATAGGCCAAATAAACCTTTTCCTCCCTCAAGGTGTTTTTGGTTGTGGTACTGATCACAGCAATGAAAAGCAAGCTAGGACACCCTTCAATCTTATCTGCATTGTCCTTTTAGATAGAAGTTGTTTCTTTATCGGTATAAAACTTTGTAGACTCTTCATTCTCCAGTACATCACAAGAGCTTTACCCAGAGTTTAGGTCCTTAATGGTCCCACACATTTTTGCTGAGATGTCTGAGGAAGCCCTTTAAAGATCCTAAGTGCTCTCTGGTTGTATTAACTGAAGCCTGTGTGACAGACTGTTCTGATTTTTTGATCTTGCTATTAGTAAATGCCGTGCGGCCACATCCTCAGTTACTTCTTCAGAAGATGCTTTCTGACAATGAACCTCTTCATTTCAGTTACTTTTGTGATTAAGATGGGTTGGCAATTTCCCAAATCACATCTTCAGTCTTTTCTCTTCACACTTTATTATATTCCTTTTACTACAATACTTCTGTTTAAAAATGTTCTCAGTTAAATGTCCATATAAAAATTCATACATGAATATATGCAATCACTGTTTTTAATATTTAGAAGGTGGGTCATGAAAAATGACAAATATGGTAAAGGGTGACTGTGGTAAATCCATACTTCCAGCAGTCAATAATAAATGAGCTGTTCATACATATAACACAAATACATGTCAAACTAGTTATGCAGACTAACTGCAGACAAAATACACATAAATACTTGGAAGTTACATTGACATAAACCTCTTGAAGAACTTATGTACAATAAAACCAGTGGTTGCCAAGGGATTGAATGAAGGGCGTGAAGGACACTGAGAAGAATCCTGAAGAAACACATGGTAACTTTGGAGTTCTGCGGTATGTTCAAAATCACTGCTAGAATGGCTTTACAGTATTATACACATATATCAAACTACACAACTATATACAATATACAGAGTTTGCTAACTATACTCCATAAAGTCTATAAAAATAATTCACTTAAAATTCTAGGCCACCCACTTCTACTGACGAATCAAACAAGTAGACATTAATATAGTAATTCTACCATATCACTACAAATATCTTAGGAAGCCATCTTACCCAGTGGTAAACAACGAAGGTCATTTTCATTGTAACCAAGAATTCTGGTTATGTGCAAAAAGTTACATTCTTGGATCATTTTACTCTCTTGGTTACTGCCTATACAGCAAAGACATTTAGCAAAGATCTCAGGAAGGCATAGTAATCCCCCCCCCCAAAAAAAATCTATGCTGAACTAGTGACCTTGGTCCTAAGTGACACAGCACTTTATGCTGAAGAGTTCTATAAATCCTTTGACACTACACAGATTTCATGAGTAGAATATTTAGGAATGTTCTTACAATGAGAATTTCCCCTGTAGTTAATTGAAACTAATCTGTGTAGCTAGAGTTTTCCTGCCTGGCCCACAGTCGGGACAAATCTCTCTCACCTGCCAGTCCCACAGCCGCTCAAACCCGACCAAGTAAACACACAGAGACTTATATTGGTTACAAACTGTATGGCCGTGGCAGGCTTCTTGCTCACTGTTCTTACAGCTTAAATTAATCCATTTCCATTAATCTATACCTTGCCACATGACTCGTGGCTTACTGGCATCTTCACATGCTGTTTGTCATCGTGGTGGCTGGCAGTGTCTCTCTGACTCAGCCTTCCACTTCCCAGCTTTATTCTCCTCCTTGTCCCGCCTACACTTCCTGCCTAGCCAATGGCCAATCAGTGTTTTATTTATTGACTAATCAGCAACACATTTGCCATACAGAACATCCCACAGCAAATCTGTAATTCCATATACTCACATCCACTATTTCTGTACTTTTGTTTAGTGGCACTTTGCGATATACAGCTGGTAGCCTGCATCCCAATCCTGACCACATAGGTCTTCTCAACGGTGCAAGGAGATATAGTGCATGAGTTAGAAATGAGACACATGATCCATTCTGCTCCCAAACACATGGCAGATTATCACAATATACCAGTTTGTGGTCCTTCAAAAAACTCTGAAATCCAGTCAAGTCAGATCCTCCAAATACTTGGAATTATTATCTATGAAGTGTTTTTCAACAATAGAAGGTAACACAGTAACTGGACTCAGAATTGCTCATCAGCAACCTGCTGTCCCATTTAAAATACTAGAGTGTTTATCTCTTTAGCTGGTCAAATACTAACTTTGTTTTCACTATACTCCAACCTCCCCTAAGATTAAAAGTAATGTAAATTCTAAGGCATTTATTATTGGAAGCCAAAGGAATAGGAAGCAAGTACTTGTTCTGGTTGGATGACTTAAAGATGTGGGATGCCCATTATGTTAGAAAGTTCATAAAGAACTGGGATAGTGGCACATGTCTAAACTCTCAGCTACTAAGGAGGCTGAGGAAAGAGAAGTTCAAGACTAGCTTGGACAAAATAAAAATAATGGCTCAAACAAGCAAATAAAAACTATTTCACACTAAAACAACATCCAAGAAGTAAATTATGTCTGCAAGCCAAATACAGAGCATAGCTCAGATCTTGGCTATACACAACTCTGCCAGTCAAATATGACAGATTGGGGAATTATACTCTTATCATGTGCTTCACAATTACTATAGGGACTTTGAAGAGTAAATAAGTCTTTTCTTTCCAGAGGTTGTTGTAGCTGAAGTTTTCCTGGTCCTGTCTGGCCCACGGTCAGGACAAATCTGTCTCACTAGTGTCCCCCAAGTAAACACACAGAGACTTATATTACTTATAAACTGTATGGCCATGGCAGGCTTCTTGCTATCTGTTCTTATATCTTAAAAATTAACCCACTTCTATTAATCTATACCTTGCCACGTGGCTTGTGGCTTACCAGTCGCTCACATCTTGCCACTCATTGCAGCGGCTGGCAGCATCTCCTGACCCAGCCTTCTTTCTCCCAGCATTCTCCTCTCTGCTTGTCCCGCCTACACTATACTTCCTGCCTGGCTACTGGCCAATCAGCGTTTTATTTATTAATCAATCATAGCAACACATTTTTATAGCATACAGAACATCCCACAGCAGGCTGTTGAAGAGACTAAGATGGAAGAGATTAGATAGTTTCAGTCATATGTACTAAGAGACAGTGGCATGTTACTCAAGCTAGTCAAAATGTACAACATAGCTCTTGAAAGCTTCCTACATACTTGCCATTCCTAATGCATCTCCTTGTCATGACCACTCACTATGAGATTCAACATCTGACTGAATACTATTGTGCTACAAGCACCCCTAAAGTTTTCTTGCTGCATGAATCTTTTGGTGCCGATTCAGGTGGGAGCTTAAGCTGTAGGCTTTCCCACACTCACCGCACTCATATGGCCTCTCTCCAGAGTGAACTTTCTGGTGCCGAACAAGGTGGGAGGTTCTGATGAAATCTTTCCCACACTTGCTGCACACGAAAGGCCTTTCCCCAGTATGAACCCTTTGGTGTGCTATAAAATCAGAGCTTCTACTAAAAAACTTCCCACAGTCAATGCACTCAAAAGGCTTTGACTCAGTGTGAATTCTCTGATGTTTAATGAGGGTGTATCTGTGCCCAAAGGATTTCCCACAATCACTGCAATCATAAGGGTTTTCTCCAGTGTGGATACTTTCATGCTGAACAAGTGTCGATTTGTGTCTGAAGACTTTGCCACAGTCATTGCACTTATAAGGCCTCGAGCCACTGTGTACTCTCTGGTGTACTATTAGGTTGGAGTGATGGCTAAAGTATTTCCCGCATTCAGTGCACTTGTAAGGCATTTCTCCAGTGTGGATTCTCTTATGTTGAGTGAGGTTGTCTTTTCGACTGAAGGCTTTTCCGCATTCACTACACTCATAAGGCCTTTCTCCAGTATGGATCCTCTGGTGCTGTATGAGTGTGGCTTTGCGGCTGAAGGCTTTCCCACATTCACTACACTCATAAGGCTTTTCTCCACTATGGATCCTCTGGTGCTGCACAAGGGTATCTTTGCGGTTGAAACCTTTCCCACACTCACCACATGTATAATGCATTTGTCCAACATGGAAGTCCTCTCCATTCTCAGTGCTCCCTGCTCTCTTCTTGCTAAGGGTGACCTTTTGTTGGTGACCAGTCAAACCGTCCTGAGGGTTCCTCTGCTCCACCTTGCATGCAGAGGGCTTCTCTGAAGAGTAGGGCTTTACATGAACTTTGAAATTCTTAAATAATGAGGCTCTACTGTCATTCTTTTGTAAAGAATTCTCGACATTATTATGCTTTAGGTTCTGGCAAAAGTTTTCACTTAACCAGAACTGTCTCTCACATGCTTTGCATGAGTAAGTTACAAGTGCAGGGTATGTTCCTTGGTGTTCCTCCACATCCAAAAGACCATTCAAAATGGGGCCACATAGGTCACAAGGATAAGTTGTCTGAGTGAAGAAGGAACCTGCCTTGGGAATGTTAACATGTGGTACTCCAACAGAAATGCTTGGTTCAGAAGGCTCTGCTTCATCCTTCACTGCACACCAACAACCTGAAGGCAGAAAAAACACTGGCATTTACACTCTGAAATACATGTTGTCTTAGTCAGGGTTACTACTGCTGCCAAAATACCTTGGCCAAAGGCAAGTTGGGGAGGAGTTTATTCAGCTTACTCTTCCACAGCACTGTTCATAATTAAAGGAAATCAGGACAGGAACTCATATGGGGCAGAAACGTGGAGGCAGGCACCGATATAGAAGCCATGAAGGGGTACTGCTTACTGGATTGTTCCCCTATGGTGGTATTTTATTTGTACTGAGATGTGATTTTAATTGTATGTTAATAAATAAAGTTTCCTGGGGGTCAGAGCTATTAGAGCCATAGCAAGAGCGTGGCGGTGGTGGCACACGCCTTTAATCCCAGCACTTGGTAGACAGAGCTAGGTAGATCTCTGTGTGTTTAAGGATAAAGCCAGCATTGGAGATACATGCCTTTAATCTCAATCCCAACCATAGAAAACCTGGAAGTCTCTACAGACAGGCAGTGACGAGGCAGTCATGTGTTTGGGTTTACAACCAATGAGAAGGCAGAACAGAAAGACTATATAAAAACAAACACACAGGAAGTAGGTCTCTTTCAAAGAGCTCTCTTGGCTGAAGAGGATCACTGAAGCAGGAAGGCTAAGGCTCTTAGCTCTGACCTCTTGGCTTTCTTCTCTGAATCAGCTCTGTGTTTCTTATTTAATAAGACGGCTGGTTACATCTACATTCCCCATGGCTTTTTTGGCCTGCTTCCTTACAGAACCCAGGACCACCAGCCCAGGGATGGCACCACCCACAATGGATGATCAAAGAATAGAGAAGGCTATGAGATAAAGATATAAGAATGAGGCTAGTACAGGAGAAAAAGTAGTCTTTATTATTTCCCTAAAAATGACTTCTGGAAAGGCTTGGCTGACTGGTAGTAACAGGTCAGAGTTACACATAAGTGTATGTTCCTGGCCCAGGAATGATTGATTTAAAATGAGTGGCTTATATTCAAAGACTATTAAAGAATTATGTATACATCTGATGAACTTAGTTCAGTCCAATGATCTTCTTTCAGTCCAACACTAGAAAGACTGACGAGGGAGCAATAGAAAACACTTGCATTAGAGACATGGGGAGAAAACCCTGGGTCAGAAACTCGAGCAGAAATAACAGAAAGGGTAAGATGGAGAGGAAAAGACAGGAAGAAGGCATGTCAACTGGCATTGGCATCAAATGCTAGTGGACACAAGACAGGTTTCTGATCCTATCTGATAAACATTTGAAAGTCATGCCCTCCTCTAGTTCTTACTTGAGTTGGTCCAAGCTCCTTCTGCTGCGCTTAGAGTCATCCCCTCTCAGTCAGGTGCCCAGGACTCTCTTGCTTGCCATCCTTCAGGAATCATAAAGGATCTGGAATACAGAAATCACCAGGGAAAGCATAGGTGAATATAAAACACACCCATACAAGACTGGGAGGAAAATACAATAAAATAAAGCCTGTCAAGCAGGGACAGTCCAGTGAGTTCCACAAACAATGACTATGATAACTGAAAGCTTTATTTGCTGATCCAGAAAAATGTTAGATAAAGGTGGCAGAACATGGAGCCCTGAAGTGTGTGCCTGTGAACAAAGTCTTACCACCAAGGAGAAAGCATGCAGGATGTGATCTACTGTGATAACCTTAAGACCTTTGATGCCCAAACATGACCTGGCTAGTCTCCTGACAGTAAGAATTGGGGAGCAAAGAGAATGGAGGAGAAAACTCATTGTATCTAAGGCTTGGCACCCAGAGAACCTATGTGAAGGAATCAGGTAAAACAGTAGTGGCTAAGGCACAGCTGTGGTAAAAAAAGATCAAGTCCTGTAGTTTAAAAAAGGAGAACAGTGCCATCCCAGAAGCCTAGGGTAGCTCCCCTATCCCAGGAGATGGTAAATATAAAGCACAGAATGCATCATAGCACAATAGTACAATGTCTGAACCTCATCAAGAAGCTCCCACTTCAAACAGGAAGGACACCTAAAGTCATTCTCAGGCTATGTCACATGGTCCTGAGCCAAATGGAAAACTGCCCTCAAGTTTTCTGTTTCTCATCTTAAACACCACATAAAACAACACCCATAATAAATCTCAACCTCAGCCAAATCTCTATGTCTCATACCTCACCTATGAGGTCTCTAGCGATCCCTTCCCCAGGATGCTGGACCAGAATATTTTGCAAGCTTTCCTGCTGGTTGCGCTGTGAGACACCTTGGATTTACCATGTCTAAAACCCAATTCTTAATCCTTCTGAAAAAAATGTTCACCACTCTAACTTATCATTTTCAGATGTTTATGAAGTGGGGGAGGGGTAGTGGGGCAGTTCTTCACTCACTGCTTTCACAACCACATTTGATAAGACCAGGAAACTTTGACGGTTTCATCTCCAAACTTACCTCCAGAATTTAATGACTATCCAGAATTTATTTCACGTTCCCCCGACCCTATGCTAGCTGAGTATTACCAGAACATTCTCAGAGTCAGTTGCAATAGCTTCCTGGCCTGAGTCCCTGCTTCAGTCCTTATCATCCCAACCCCACAGCAGACTGTTTTCTGAATGAATACCGGAATGCATATTTAAGTCGTTTTAAGATCACCTCTTTCCATCATTCAAAACGCTCCTTAGTTCTGAAATGAGGATACAATTCATCGAAAGCGTGTGACGCAGGATAGGAATGACTGCTACAATCTCTCCTGCATACAAGGGTCAAAAAGGCACCCACTTTTCGATTGTTTCACGCACTCGCTAAGCCTCTGCTCTGGTGGTGTTTTGTTTTGCCATCACACTGCCCTACATTCCACTGCTGGTCAGAAACCGCAAACCTCCCACTCACACGGGTCCCCTGCCCTGCAGCCACTTGTGGATTTGTGACTAGAAGCTGAGGATGACAGGTAAAGGTCTGAGAACTTAGGACCCACCTGTGCAGGGTTCATGGCCACCGCCCTCACCTGCCTAAGCAGCACCAAAGTAGGGCGAGCAGGGACCGCTGTCACTTGGCCCTGGAGATGGGATCTCCTTACTCCGTCACCGCTCAATATTCCCTCAGGGGCAAGTAAGTCTCCTTTTGTGACTTCTGGCGCCAATCAACTCGAAACTGGCTCCAAAGTTTGGGCCATAATGCTGCCAAGACGCCCGACTTGGGGAAGCTTCCGGAAGTCCCGCCTAAAAGGAAATGCTCCCAACGTGCGCGCTGGATTCTGGGCAATGTAGTTCCCTCAGAGAAATTGACCCTAGGGGCTCTGGCTATGGCATCAGTTAGGACATGAATAGTGTGACTTAGCTGTAAGTTCTGGGAAAGGTCCCAGAAACTCACTGGGAAGAGCGGAACCTCCTTCATCTGAGAAGTCCCAGACCGAGAGAACAACATGTGCAAATATTGAGACAAATTATGTCAGATGTTCCCCTAATGGACACACACATCAAAATCGGTAAGGGTATTTAACTGTCCACTCTTATGTTCTTCATTGTTAAACAAGTAAAATATAAAGCTTTAAGTCAGTTGTCCAGGCTTCAATGGTGAGAACTGTCCCAAGACATAAAGTGGAAGAATGGTTTTTAGAGAGAGGTTTTGTAGGGATATTTGAGCTCCAAAGTTGGCTAACGTGGAGCACTTCCTCGGCTTTCCTCAGAGACAAATTTCAGCTAGGAGGGCCCCAGGAGATGACCAGATTGGGAGGGGAATACCAGAATATTCTAAAAGCAGATAGTCAACAGAGGCACCTCTCTGTATGATATCCAACCAATGAAGTAACACTCTATCTAAATGGTACCCATTAGCCCTCAAGCTGAAATACATGTATTTCCTTTTGGGAATATGCCACCTATTTGAAAAATGAAAACTGTTTTAAGTGTCCCATGTGCCAAGATAAAGAGTTGGCATGGTCTCACTGACAGCCATGTGCAAAGGTATCATCAGGGCATGGAAATGTAGACTTGGAATAAGTGACCTCATTTCACCTACAATTCCAGGAACAACATTAGAATTGAAATTTCAGATGATTCATGGGGGAGAGAGAAGCTTGAACTGTTTAAACAACCAAAACCTGTTTAACCACGACCATGTTGTCTTCACAAGTACATATATATTCTGAGGAAGCCAATGGCATTTGGAAAGTGTTAGGGCATAGAGATAACTCAAGGAGATCTGAAGTCTCAGATGTGCTCAATGCTGAGCACAGGGGTACTTGAACTGTGACCACTGCAGAGCTTTAATCCTAAAATGTAAATCACTGGGTGACAACAGATGGACAGTTATGACTCTGACTCTACCATTATTTGGTGATTCATTTAGATCGCCTTCATATATAGATATGTTTTAGAAAGCTTCCACTGTATTATGTTTTCATACTACCCTTCAAATGTCCCTTAATTTTAGCTTCCTACTTCCCATATTTCCAATCCACAACCTCTCCCCCATCACTATCCTTACTTAATTCTCTCTTTCCAGACCTCCATCCATATCTATTTATTTCCATTTCCTAAAGAGATATGCCTGTTCTTTCTAAGCCCTTACTCTACACCTATTCTTTGTGTTCCTATGGATTGCAGCTTGGTTATCATTGACTTAACAGATAATATCCACATATAAGCAAATACATGCCATGTTTATCTCTCCATCTGGAATACCTTGCTGAGGATGAATTTTTTTTTCTAGTTCTATCCATTTGCCTACAAAATTCATGATGTCATTTAAAAATTGAAGTAGTATTCTATTGTGTAAATGTACCACATTTTCTTCATTAATTCTTCTGTCGAGAGACATCTAGGTTGTTGCCAATTTCTGGCTATTATGAACTGAGCAGCAATGAACGTGGTTTAGCAAGTGTCTCTGTAGTAGGATGAAGCATCTTTTGGGTATATGCCCAAGAGTGGTATAGCTGGAAATATAGGTATATGGATTTCCATCTTCCTGAGGACCCATCACACTACTTTCTGTAGTGGTTGGATGAGATTTTACCTCCCCCAGCAATATATAAGTGTTCCTCTTATTCCACATCCTCACCAGCATGAGCTGTCACTTGTGTTATTAATCTTAGCCATTCTGATGGGTGTGAGATGAAATCTTAAAGTGGTTTTGATTTGCATTTCTTTGATGACTAAGGATGTTGAACATTTCTTTAAAATGTTTCTCAGTCATTTAGGATATTAGCCCTTTATTGAATGTGTAGTTGGTAAAATCTTTTCCTATTCTGTAGGCTGCTGCTTTCTCTGAATGATAGTGTTCTCTGACATGTAGATGCTTCTCAGTTTAATGAGTTTCCATTTATTAATTGTTGGTTTTAGTGCCTGTGATGAATGTTCTGTTCAAATAGTCTTTGTCTGTGCCAATGAGTTCAAAGCTATTCCTCATTTTCTTTATTATCAGGTTCAGTGTATATGCTTTTATGCTGCGGCCTTTGATTCATTTGGAGTTGAGTTTTATGCAGGTTCATGAGTATGGATCTCTTTGGATTCTTCTACATGCAGCTATCCAGTTTGACCAGCGCTATTTATTGAGGATCTCTTTTTTGAGTGTACATTTCTGGCATCTTTATAAAAATTCAGGTGTGCAAAGGTGTGTGACTTTAGGTTTGGGTCTTCAGTTCGATTCCATTGATTAATGTGTTTGTTTTTTTGTGACAATACTATGCTGTTTTTATTACTATAGCTCTGTAGTACAACTTGAAATTAGGGATGGTGATACCTCTAACAGTTGTTTTATTATTCAGGGTTGTTTTAGTAAACCTAGGTTTTTTATTTTTGTTGTTTTTTGTTTATTTCTATATGAAGCTGAGAATATACTTCAAAATATGTGAAGACATATTGTTAGAATTTTGATGAGAATTGCTTTGAATCTCTAGATTGTTTTTGTTAGGGTGGCCATTTTTGCTATGTTACTTCTACCAATCCATGAGCATGGGAGACCTATCTTCTGATATCTTCTTCAGTTTCTTTCTTCAATGAGTTGAAGTTTTTTTTTTTTAATCATACAAGTCTTTCTTTTGCTTGGTTATAGATACCCCAAGATAATTTATATTATTTCAGGCTGTTATCAAAAGTGTTTTTTCCCTGCTTTCTTTCTCAAACCTTTATATAGGAGGACTACTGAATTTGTAAGTTAAGTGTGTATGCAGCTATTTTGCTGAAAATGTCTATTAGCTGTAGGAGTTCGCAGGTAGAATTTTAGGGATTCTTATGTATACTATCATATTATCTTTGAAAAAGATATTTTGACTTCTTCCTTTGTAATTTCTATCCCCTTGATATCCTTCAATTGTCTTATTGTTCTAGGTAAGACTTCAAGCACTACATTAAATAGAAAAAGAGAGAGTGGTCAGCCTTTTCTTGTTCCTGATTTTAATGAAATTACTTTGAGTTTCTTTCTGTTTAAGTTGATGTTGGGTATGCGTTTGCTATAAACTGCCTTTATAATGTTGAGGTATGTCCTTCTATCCTTAATTTGTCAAGGGGTTTTTATCATGAAGGGGCATTAGATTTTTTTCAAAGGCCTTCTCTGCATCTAATTAAATGATCATGTGGTTTTTGTCTTTCTGGCTGTTTATATGGTGGGTTACATTTATTGATTTATGTATGTTGAGCCATGCCTACTTCTCTGGGATGAAGCTTGCTTGACCATTGTGAATGATCATCTTTAATGTGTTCTCAGATTCTGTTTGTGTCTTAATGAGAATTTTTGAATCTATGTATATAAGGGAAATTGGTGTGTAATTCACTTTCTTTGTTGGGGTTTTATGTAGTTTGGGTATCAGTGTAACTGTGGTCTTGTAAAATGAACAGGATGGACAATCGTCCTTCCGCTTTACACTCTTTCGCTCTTCCCCCTCCTCCAATAAACCTCTTGCACTAACTCTTTTGTGTGGTGTGTTCTCATAGCAACATACATTGGCAGGGCCCTCCACAGGTACTAGGGGACTTTCTTTTCTGTTCTAGTCTATTGAGTGTCCCTTAAGTTTCTTGTACCTTGTAGACAAATTCCTCTTTATGTTAGGATTTTTTTCTATGATTTTGTTAAAATATTTTCTCAGCCTTTGAGCTGAGTTTCTTTTCCTTCCTCTATTCCTATTATTCTTAGATTTTTCTTCTTTTCATAGTGTCCCAGATTTCCTGGATGTTTTGTGTCAGGAATTTTTTAGACCTTTCTTTGACTGAGGTATCCACTTCTTTAATGCCTGAGATTCTTTATTCCATCTCTCGTATTTTGTTGGTGAAGCTTACCTCTGTGGCTCCTGTTGACTTCCTATATTTTTCATTTCCAGATTTCCCTCATTTTGGGTATTCATTATTGATTCTATTTTCATTTTCATGTCTTGAATGGTTTTATTCACTTTATTCCACGGTTTGTGTTTTCATTGATTTCTTTAAGGGGTTTATTCATTTCCTCTTTATGGACCTCTCTCATATTCATAAAGGCTGATTTAAACACTTTTATTTGTGCTTCCATTATGTTGGAATATTGAAGGCCTGCTCAGGTAGGGCTGCTGGACTCTAGTGGAGATATATTGTCCTGAATGTTTAATTGTGTTTTTATGCTGGGCTCTAGGCATCTGTGTTTGGGAAAACTGTGATTCTAGGTGGTAATATCTGGTCTTGTCTTGTTGGGTGGGTTGGAAATAAAAAACCTTGGTTTTTATTTCCTCTCCTGTTCCTAGGAGAGTGTGGTGACTGTGTGTTGCCTATAGGAAAATCTTCTGGGTTCCTGATAGGTGTGAGCACTGGGTGTTCTAGGTAAAATATGTTTCTGGGACTTGGGAGCTGACACTTAGGAATGGGGATTATCTTAGGAGGTATGGAAGCATGGGATACCTCTGAGGCACAGTAACGACTCAGAGACAGTGTTCGTGCAAGCTGACCGGTCACTCCAGGCTTCTGTAGTTGCTAAGTTTCTTTTGCTTCCCTAGCTTCTCTTAGCTTCTGCTTTTGCCCTGGTAACCTCAGTCTTTTATTATCATAAGCAAGGGGGAGCAGAAAGAAAAGGGGAAATCACCCAATACCAAATATTGTCATGATCCCAAAGGTTATTCTTAGAAAATCACCAATATATTCTTCATCAACTTTAGTTAAACACAGAAAATATCCCAGGCTTAACACCAAAGCAAGCATAATCTATTTTTATTATTAATGATTATACAATATTCTGAGCACTGGATGCAAAGGCTAGCAACATGCAAT